GATTAATCGCGATTAATCATGATTAAAATTTTTAATCTATGCCCAGCACTAAAATTAATCAAACTGGATTAATTTCACAGCCCTAATTTTTTCTCAATTTATGTTACTTTTCCCGAGACTGATGTTGTTCCTTGTAGTTTTTGTTGGCTGAATTYAGAGCTTCTTGCCTTTGTTTACAATCAGGTAATAATGTGATTAGAAGGCCTGGACAAATTTACACTCTTTAATCTGTATGAATGTTTTTACATTAAGCTTTCAGTCAGAATACTCATCTTGTAAACTTTATGTGAACTGAATGTCTTAAAATGTGTGAACAAACACACACCACCTGTCGTTAAATTTCTTACACCTTTTCTTTTTTCTCACCTTGTCTCGTTTTCCCATCTCCTCTTCCTCAGGGCCCCTCATCCTCCGGCCGGACCCGTAGCTTCTCTCTCCTCCCCCACCTCACTCCGTCTTCATCTCCGAGCTCCCAGAGGCACACGGGCCACGCGGCCTCRCCCGGCAACATCGTCACCATCACCCACCACAAATCTCCAGCCGCAGCTCGCCGAGCCAAGACTCCGTATCCCGGGCAGCTGCTGGAGGTCAAAGAGGTGGGTGACGAAGACCCTTCTCCCTCTGATGTTTTAAGGGGGTTTCAGCTAAATGTTTTGAAGGATGTGTCAATTTCTAAAACGTACCCAGCAGAAAACCAGAAAAGGAGTAACAGAAGGATTTATTGGTGTATTTTGACGGCGTGTTGACGTCATGAAATAAATTAGAGATGACTTTAACAGGCCGCAGCACACACACTTTAATGCTTTATCAGACAGAAAAGGTTCTGCTGCGTCATGGATGACATTTTACTGATGTTGGTTTGAAATGCCGGCTTCAGAGCAGGACGTCTGGTTTATTTGTTTGCCCTTTTTGTCTTTGGTCACTTTTCTGTCTCGTTTTTGTTTTGGATTCTGAGAAAAGGAAATTTATGGGATAAATCTTGTGCCAGCAGGAATTGAATTTGAATTGCTCAGATAGAATCTGAATGTGCATAATTTGATATTATGCAGTTTAGTGTCAATAATTGTATTGGCAATGTGGCCTCTTTCTGCACACATAGAAACCAACCCCTGGCACCACACCCTGCCACAGCTCCAACATTCTAATGGTCTATGTCATGGACTTTCAAGTGGGAGATCAGGGTTCAAAACCCAGCTAAAGCAACTTTAACAAAAAATCTCTGAGCTACTCTTCCTGCATACTTTGTCCTACAG